CTATTCCTTCTCTTCTCCCCTTCTGGGACTCCAATTGCATATATGTTAGACTACGTAATATTGTCCTGTAGATCCCTGAAGTTCTGTTTATTTTTTTCCATCTTTTTCTCTACAGATTTGAGGGTAATTTATACACAGCCTTTGAGCTTCCTTTCCACATGGCTCCTGCCATTCTGGGATATCCTCCTTCAATTCCCAGTTGTTCTAGTAGACCCAACATATTCCTCTCATGTCTTCATACATTAAGACTGTGGCTTCCAGCCACTTCTGCCATATAGACTGGATAGTTCCCTTAGAAGAGAGACTGTATAAACTTGGAATATCATTTAATTTCTCTCTTTCATTGCTGTCCAGTGCCTTCAGGTAGCTTTTTTTTTTTTAAATATCTTTTCTGCAGAGATTAAAATAATTATCTGCGGAAAGGTTAATATGGTACAATTTACTCCATCATTGTTGGAACTGGAACTCTGCCTTCTGTATTCTTAAGCTTACTTAATCTGTTCACCATCCACTCTGTTTTCCAATTTAGAGACTCCACTGTCCCTTACTCAAAATAACCAGTCTTTAGATCCTAACAATCCTTTCTCAGATATGCGTCCTACATCTCTGGACACCTAACTTCCTCAGAGCCACTGCTTTAGTCCTATTCCTCATTCAACTGTCTCTCCTGGCCTCCTAGCCACAGTCACTTCCCATACTTCCTGAGGTATCTTCCTTGAAAACATTGCTTACTATGCCCCTCCCTTGTTTTAAGACTTTATGGTTCCTTCAGGATTAAATCTCCTTGGCTTGGTCTATAAAGCCCCTCACAATCCAATGTATGTCCTGCTATTGTTCCAGAGAACCAACGCTATATGTTAAACTCTACTCTGTTCCTTGGACACATAAGAACTTTCCATGTTTTTGCGATTTTTGCACTTTGTATCCTACCTACTTGGGTCACCCATGTTCATCTGGCTTTTGTAGATTTAATCTTAGAATCCAATTCAAATATGACCTCTCTGGAAAGTTTTCCCTGACTGGGCTACCTCTGTCTTTGATATCTTGCCTTGGTGTTCTTATAGTACTTATAAGTCTTTATGTTGACTTTGTTGATCTATCTATTTATCTATCTATCACCTATCTGCTATCTGTATCACCTTCTCTTTCTCAGAGGGCTTTAATGTCCTTGGTCAAAGTGTTATGTGTTTCAGATATGTCTTTTTTGTTGTCCATAACATCTAGTAAGCATTGTACATCCTGTGTAGATTCTCATTGCATATGTTTGTTTATGATGATATTAAAAAGGATATTTCTCAGCAATGATACTCAAAACCGTGGTTTTACATATAGAAATTAAATGGCCACAGGCATGAAAGGAGGAACTAATCAGCCAGTTCACATACTATTCTGTTATTTATTATTTCCTTAGGAACATTTGCTCCCCCATCAAGCACCCCTACAGAGTTCTGCAGGAATGGTGGAACCTGGGAAAATGGCAGATGTGTCTGTACAGAAGAGTGGAAAGGACTGAGATGTACAATTGGTAAGTTACTGGGGTGTGAGATTTAGGTGACTGTTGTGTTAATAAGAAGAGCAGCAAGGTTTCTGGAAGCTTCAGTTAATGATTACAGAAACAGTAGGCATAATAATGATGGTTTAAGATGTGTTTATCAGTTCAATAGTAAAAGCCGAGTTTTCTTCTTGGGCTATTTACCTGTATATTCACTATTCCTTGTCTGTTTTCTGACTATCAAGTTTCTATGCAAACTCACAGTTGTGTTTCCTTGTGGCTGCATGTCTAATCCAGGGCAATGGGTGATATTCTCTCAGGTTCTTTCAATTGATGATATGCCATAATACCCTATTTCAGAGATCACTATTCTATCACTATTCAAATTTTCTGAAATTAAGATTCATCTTCCTATCCAAGTATATACTCATATTAAGTTTTTGTCTTTTCTTCCTTCTCCCTGAAAAGTTGTTACTAACTTAGTCATTTGATATCAATCAATGCTGTCTTAGAACCAAAGTTCAAGGGTATTTCTTGATCTGAAGTGTGTTTCACAACACTCTGCACACTTCATGCCCTCTGCTTAGGATCCAGAGCCCTGGAAGCCCACTCCTATCATTTCCTAGACTCCTACCAGCCAGTGTATCCCACACACCCCATGACTTTGGCCCTTTTGCTTTGAGCCATATTCTCGTGATACCACTGTAGGCTATATATTTTTAATTTTCAAGATTCCACCTAGTCTGATACACTCTCCTTGCTGATGTGTCAATGCTCACATTCCACCTCTACCCAGATATATATTGTGCACGTTTTAACTAGAATCTGTTATCTAACATACTAGTTATTCTAGTGGCAGTAACTCAAGCAGAGAGGAAAGTATTGAAGTTCCTCACAGGCCAGTGTGTTCTATTACCCTTCCAATTACACTGCAGACGTTCTGAACTTTGACTTTTATCTGGTTTCAATTTGAAAAAGAAGAGTAGAACTTGTAATGAAAAAAATATATTTTTCTTTTCTTTACAGCTAATTTCTGTGAAAATAGTACCTATATGGGTTTGAGTTTTTCCAGAATTGCAGTGGGCAGATATGGACCTTCCTTGCAAACATGTGGCAAGGATACACCAAATGGTATGTGTTTTTCCAAACATCTTTTCTATTTAGGCATAAAAATTGTCAGGCTGTGTCATACTGAACTCATTTGGTCAACCTTAGGGAGAAAGCATTCAATATTAAACTATTAAGCATGATGTTAGTGGTAGGTGCTTCATAGATGATTTTTATCAGTTTGAACAAGTTCCCTTTAATTCCTTGTTTGCTGGGAGTTTTTTTTTTTAATTCAGATGCTTTTTGTCCCCTGCATTTATTGAGATGATCATATAATTTTTCCCCTTTATTCTGGCATAGGGTAAATTAGATTAATTTATTTTCTATTCCTTTCATTTCTGGGATAAATCTCACTTGGTCATGAAGTATATGGTGGGATTCGATTTGCTACTATTTTTAAAGGATTTTTGCATTTGTGTAAATGGGGTTTATTGGCCTGTAATTTTCTTTTCTTGTACTGTCTTTGTCAGACTTTGGTATCAGGGTTATCTTGGCACTATGAAATAATTTGGGAAGTTTCTTCCTTTCTCTCTTTTCTGAAAGTGTTTATATAAGATTGATATTATTTCTTTGCTAATTCACCCATAAAACTATCCGGGCTGATAGTTGGTTGCTTTCAGGATTTTCT